CCTTTGATATACACCTTCTTCCTTCTCCTCCTCTTAGCTATTGTTTCCTCCTTTCCCTCCGGCCGGAAAAAGCGAGGAAGGAAGGAAGGAAGGAAGGAGGAGCGGCCAGCAGAGACTTTCACAGTCAATACTGAAAAGTGCCAGGTCCCTATCAGGGGAGGGTTGTTGTTTTTTCTTGCAAAATCCCTTCTCAGAGGAGGAAAACCCCTTTCCCTTCTTCAATGGGGTCGTGGCCGCCTTAGTGCTCCCTGGAGGAATCTAGGATTGCAGTTGGGTTGTTCCTATACGGCTTTATAGTACTACTGAATATTCAATATACAACCAGATAAAAATTAGCTAAACCACATACTTGGAGAGAGAAAGAAAGATTGTGTGTATGGTTTGCATACGTATGGTATTTGTTGTTGTTGTTGTTGTTATTGTTGTTGTTGTTGTTGTGTGCCTTCAAGTCCTTATGGCGACCAGAAGGCTAACCGATCTTGGCAAAATTTGTTCAGAGGAGGTTTGCCTTTCCTTTGAGGCTGAGAGAGTGTGACCTTGCCCAGGGTCACCCAATGGGTTTCATGGCCGAGCTGAGAATTGAACCCCGGTCTCCAGAGTCGTAGTCCAACACTCAAAACCTCTACACAACGCTGATTGTAATGTATCATTACAAATATTCTCTTTCTCGCTACTTAATGCATAGTATAGCTAATATTTATATGGTGTTTAAATAGAAATATAGTGAATTCTTTACAAAATGCTGCTGCTGCTTAAACATTATTTTATTTTAGCCAGGTAACCCTTGTGTGCTGGAGGTACATCCCATTGAACTCAATGGGAGTTCCTTCTGAGCGTTGCTCCTCTGTTCAGAAGCGGAGAGGAAAGAGCTTGAAGGCTACATATCTTCAGCTAGGAATAAATTCCATTAAACACAGCCAGATTAACTTCTGAATAAAAACTCATAAGGTTGACTTAAGGCATCTTCCTTTGACTAGAGAGTTTAGTGTTGTTGTTGCTTTTTCTTCCCTGTGTTTAATTGAAAATACACAAATATCAATCCAATGGCAGAAAAGGCAGTTAGTTGGGTTCCTTCTCTTCTGTGTTGAAACGGTTGTGCCTAGACATCTCCATTGGAGCACAATCCACAACCCAGTGGATTATTTTCTTTCATGCCAAGCAAGGGGAACATCTAGCTTTCCTGATCATACTGGACTACGTTTCCTATCAGCCCTAGCAACCACAGCCAATGGATGATGGGAGTTGCAGTCCAACAGCTGCTGGAGTCATGTCTCCCAGCCTCTATTTATGCCCTGCCTTAGAGGAGAAGCAGTGGCCCGGCCAAAGGACTTTGGATCCCGACGCCTATCATCCCCAGCCAGCCTGGTGAATGAGCAAGGATGATGGGAGCTGTAATCCAGAAACGTTGAGAGGGGCTCCATTCTGTCTCATGCCCACGTCTCCCCATTCAACATCGGTGGGCAAAAACTTAGTGGAAGGAGAGTGTGGTTACCTGAAGCCTGCCTTGCCAGTTGCCACCATCGCAGGTGTTAAAAGTCACGCCGATTTAAACCAACAGGCAAACACACGCAAGTCTGGCACGTCCACCAGTTCATTTCTTTTTCAGTCAGTGGTCCTCCAAACCCCTTTGGCTCTCCTAGCAGCAAAGCTCATCAGAGGCCCCAGGCAAGGAACTGTAGAGAAGATGCCTGCATCCACACTGCGGAAATAATCCAGTTTGACATCATTTTAACTGCTATGGAGTTCTGGGAATTGTAGTTTGTTGTAGCTGGCAGAGCTCTCTGGCAGAGAAGGTTAGTAAAAGTAAAGGTATTCCCCGTTGACAAGGTTGTCAAGTCGTGTCCGACCATAGTGGGCCAAGTGTGTCACAAAACTACAGTTCCCAGAACTCCATAGCACTGAGCCTTAATAGTTAAAGTGGTGTCAAGCTGGATTATTTCTACAATGCGGATCCAGCAGCTGTGGATTTCCATCTTGGGGTGGGAAAGTGATCTGGTGGGTGGAGAACTGCCCACTCTTTAGGATTGCCAGGAGACTCTTGCTATAAGGGATGCCCTTGAGAAAATGTGGCCCTTACAGGGCTGGCAAATGTCCCTTATTATAATGGATGTCTCCTAGTTGAGGACTGGAAAGCCTTTCCTTTGAGATATATATATATATATATATATATATATATATATATATATACCGAACAGCATGTCAAAATCATCATCATCATCATCATCATCATCTGTATTTTGGCCTGTGGGTCCTTTCAAGGGACAGAAAAGTGAGCATCATGCCATTTCTGAATGTGAACAATATGTTAATGCTATAGAGAAATGCATGGCTAGCTTAACTGAAATCAATACTGTCATTTGATATGGAGGGAGAAAGCCAGTTTGTTAATAGCTACTACTTCCTGATTTTTAGCCCTGCATGCCATGAATTTCGACTCTCCCTTATTGCTCTTTTGAAAAGCTGGCAACTCTACCACTGGTCCTTGTTGCCATGTGCCATCAGGTTGGGTTCTCTATGAAGGCAAGATCACCAAAAGCTCCAGTGGCCAACAACCCTGCTGGGGTCTTGCAAACTCAGGGCAGTCCTGGTTTCCTTGACTGAACCAATCCACCTCTAGAGCGTCTTCCTCTTTTCCTCCTGCCTTCCACTTTCCCAGTATTGTCCTCTTTTCCAGTGAGATGACTTCTCAAGCCTTCAGCGCCTTGTTTGATTTTATCAAATGCATTTGTATTCCAGTTTTCCCTGGGATTTCATCCCAGCAAGAACCCTATGAGGTTCTTCCCTCTTCAAAGGAATCATAGCCATGCCCTCCTTGGCTCAAGAAGCTGTTACTTAGGGGGTTTGCAGACTGCCAGAAATAGTGCAAATTGAGTCCAC